ACACCATTCCATCCATGCCACACCATGCCAGGAGGCGACACCAGAGAGGAGGAGGAGGAGGCGACACCAGAGAGGAGGAGGAGGAGGCGACACCAGAGAGGAGGAGGAGGCGACACCACCAGAGAGGAGGAGGAGGAGGCGACACCACCAGAGAGGAGGAGGAGGAGGAGGCGACACCACCAGAGAGGAGGAGGAGGAGGAGACGACACCAGAGAGGAGGGGGAGGAGGCGACACCACCAGAGAGGAGGAGGAGGAGGAGGCGACACCACCAGAGAGGAGGAGGAGGAGGCGACACCAGAGAGGAGGAGGAGGAGGCGACACCAGAGAGGAGGAGGAGGAGGCGACACCAGAGAGGAGGAGGAGGCGACACCAGAGAGGAGGAGGAGGAGGCGACACCACCAGAGAGGAGGAGGAGGAGGAGGCGACACCACCAGAGAGGAGGAGGAGGCGACACCAGAGAGGAGGAGGAGGAGGAGGCGACACCAGAGAGGAGGAGGAGGAGGAGACACCAGAGAGGAGGAGGAGGAGGCGACACCAGAGAGGAGGAGGAGGAGGCGACACCACCAGAGAGGAGGAGGAGGAGGAGGCGACACCAGAGAGGAGGAGGAGGAGGCGACACCAGAGAGGAGGAGGAGGAGGCGACACCAGAGAGGAGGAGGCGACACCAGAGAGGAGGAGGAGGAGGCGACACCAGAGAGGAGGAGGAGGAGGCGACACCAGAGAGGAGGAGGAGGCGACACCAGAGAGGAGGAGGAGGAGGCGACACCACCAGAGAGGAGGAGGAGGAGGAGGAGGCGACACCAGAGAGGAGGAAGAGGAGGCGACACCAGAGAGGAGGAGGAGGAGGCGACACCAGAGAGGAGGAGGAGGAGGCGACACCAGAGAGGAGGAGGAGGAGGCGACACCAGAGAGGAGGAGGAGGAGGCGACACCAGAGAGGAGGAGGAGGAGGAGGCGACACCAGAGAGGAGGAGGAGGCGACACCAGAGAGGAGGACGAGGAGGCGACACCAGAGAGGAGGACGAGGAGGCGACACCAGAGAGGAGGAGGAGGAGGCGACACCAGAGAGGAGGAGGAGGAGGCGACACCAGAGAGGAGGAGGAGGAGGCGACACCAGAGAGGAGGAGGAGGAGGCGACACCAGAGAGGAGGAGGAGGAGGCGACACCAGAGAGGAGGAGGAGGAGGCGACACCAGAGAGGAGGAGGAGGAGGCGACACCAGAGAGGAGGAGGAGGAGGCGACACCAGAGAGGAGGAGGAGGAGGCGACACCAGAGAGGAGGAGGAGGAGGCGACACCAGAGAGGAGGAGGAGGAGGCGACACCAGAGAGGAGGAGGAGGAGGCGACACCAGAGAGGAGGAGGAGGCGACACCAGAGAGGAGGAGGAGGAGGCGACACCAGAGAGGAGGAGGAGGAGGCGACACCAGCGAGGAGGAGGAGGAGGAGACACCAGAGAGGAGGAGGAGGAGGCGACACCAGAGAGGAGGAGGAGGAGGCGACACCAGAGAGGAGGAGGAGGAGGCGACACCAGAGAGGAGGAGGAGGAGGCGACACCAGAGAGGAGGAGGAGGAGGCGACACCAGAGAGGAGGAGGAGGCGACACCATAGAGGAGGAGGAGGAGGCGACACCAGAGAGGAGGAGGAGGAGGCGACACCAGAGAGGAGGAGGAGGAGGAGGCGACACCAGAGAGGAGGAGGAGGAGGCGACACCAGAGAGGAGGAAGAGGAGGCGACACCAGAGAGGAGGAGGAGGAGGCGACACCAGAGAGGAGGAGGAGGAGGCGACACCAGAGAGGAGGAGGAGGAGGAGGCGACACCAGGGAGGAGGAGGAGGAGGCGACACCAGAGAGGAGGAGGAGGAGGAGGTACTTCGCTGTGGTGGGTTGGGTAGAGAGCAGCTGCTGTGTGGCTGAACGCGGCTGCTGGGGCAGTGTGTGATGGTCCGCCACCACCACTTGACACAATGAGCTGCTCGCCGCGTTTCTCCCCCGCGGTTTCGCCTCAACGCTTCAACGCGCTTTGAATGGGCTCTGCACATCCAGACGCGGAATAGAAGTAAGATAACGATTTCGAAACCGAACGATGCGAGATTCACTAGACGCGTTTAATGTGAGCAGTCCGGCAAGAGCAGTCCGGCAAGAGCAACATACCTGATGCAGGGATCACGCGGTTGGACGCGAAGCGATTATCCACACAGCAATCGCGGGTCTTGCCGTGCCATGTCCAATCGCGGTCGTGCCGTGCCATGTCCAATCGCGGTCTTGCCGTGCCATGTCCAATCGCGGTCTTGCCGTGCCATGTCCAATCGCGGTCTTGCCGTGCCATGTCCAATCGCGGTCTTGCCGTGCCATGTCCAATCGCGATCTTGCCGTGCCATGTCCAATCGCGATCTTGCCGTGCCATGTCCAATCGCGATCTTGCCGTGCCATGTCATCGCGCAGCCTTGCCATGGACGAGCGACGGCTGCGCGATTCTGACGAGGCGCGTCGCGAGCTTCACACTTAGATGCGGCAATCGATGGAGGTCGCGAGCTTTAACGTTCACACTTGAATGCAGGATTGTGCGTTCTCATGGCGGAAATCGCTGACGGACGGCCGAAATTTCTGCTGACCGCGGAAATCGTTGCTTCTGACAGCATAATCTGACTGGAAGAAGCGTTTCCGACAACAATTTCCGCTGACGGCCGGCCGAATTGTTGACGTCGTCAAAACACGACGCTGTCGACGAGGACATCGCAGCTAGCGGAGAGACCCGATTCTGCTGATGGAGGCGACGTTTCTGCTAACTAACGAGATCGCTGCTGACGATGGAGCTCGTTTCTAGCGTCGACGCTCGTTCCTGAACGCTGCAATCGGCTCCAAAAACTACGTTGATGCCGTGTGGACGTAGCGCAGAGTTGGCTGTAAAAACGCCGGGAAGTCTACTGTGAATGTTAGGAATGCTGTTCAGCATAATATGCGAGGAGAACGGAGGTGGAGCGGTGAAAATGGAGTGAAGAGGAGAAGGGTGGAGGAGAAAGAGAATGGGAGGAAATGTGGTGTTGCCGTGGCTGCGTGGGTTGGGTTGAGATTGTGGGAATGGTTGAGTAATTTGATGGTTGAGCTCGGTTGAAACGTGTTGAAAGGGGTTTCCCGTTTTGTCAGTGTGTCGGTTCTGCAGGAGGGTTCAGTTCAGAACAGCCCAGATCCAATGAATCTCGAGGTTGTCTCTTGGCGGAGAAGGAATGCCCACCGACCGACACGTTTGGCGGACGCGCTTTACCGTTGAAGCGCGCCAAATCCGCCGAAGAGGCGGAAAAGCTGTGAGTGTCGTGAGTGTCGCCAGCATGGTTGGGCTATGAAATTTGCGGGCTGGCGGAAGTGCTCCACCAAATTCGCTGACATATCTCAAAAGGATCCGCCAAATCTGAGGGTGTCCGCGGAGCCCTTCCCCAGGTTCCGGTTGCCAAGCCAACGGATAGGCTGCGGAATGCGCAGTTTTGTGAAAATTGCGGGAACTTCGCGCCAACGCCTACGAGAATTGATCCAATGGACGGAGTGGCTTCGCCCCAATATGAGCAGAATCTTGCTTCCCATGTCACTGTGAAGGATGACGAGATCAGTTTTGGGCGAATTGTCAGACTAGCGAAGTTACTATCTCTCCCCTGTGGCGAAGAATCCGCTCATGGTTACTGATATGGCTCTGCGAATTGAGTCTTGGAGTTCTGACTAGGGCCAATGAGTGGGCGAAGAAATCTTGTGACGTGGCAAATCCACCTTCAATGGATTCTGGCCAAGCCTGTTGCTTTGCAGATTGCTAAACAATTTCGTGCCGTCCGATTTCTGGCCGGATTACTCGATTGTTGAATGTGGATGTGCTGGAGAATAGAGCGGTTGGACGTGGCGAAATGATACAAAGGCGTTTTTGTTAATATTTCTTACTGTAGTCCGTGATAACTTGAGAGTTGTTATCAACTTGCAGTTGTTACAAACGTTGAACGGGAATGTTGAACTACTGAATGACGATACAATTGAAATGACGAGACCTAAATAGGGGAAAAAATAGCTAGGCGGGGAGGTCAGGAAAGGATGGCTCGGTGATGGTTGCGATTGGTGCGGAGGCGACTCGGGGTGGTTCGGTGCGACGAAATAGGCCCAGCGGTGACGCGTGATAGGTTTACGTGTGGGGAGGCTGAGAGGGAAGGGTGTGAGCCAGGAGGGCCGGTGTTTGGGCCGTGGGAGGAAAGGGAGGCTGGGGAAGAGGAGAGTGAAGTGGGTACGAGAGAGAAGGGGGGACAGAGTGCAGTTGGGGTAAGGGGAAGGGACAGGGATGGAGATGGGGGTAAGGAAGGGGATGGGGACGGGGATGGGGATGGGGATGAGGATGGGGATGGGGACGGGGATTGGGTACATGCATGGGAGAACTTGGTAGTGGTGGCATTGCATGTGGTGTGCATGGGGGGTGGCACCATGCACCTGTACTGTGCTGCGCGGGGCACGGGCAGCAAGACCTCCTCTGACTTGAAGATTGGTGTGGCGCTTGGCACGAGCGGTGCACTGGGGGTGTGGCGCAGGGGCGGTGAGGGGTAGCTTGTGGTTAGACTGTTTGAGAGTTTGGTTGTAAGGGGCAATGACGGAGACATGAGCAGGAGAGGGCAGGGATAGAGAGCAACAACTGCACACTTGTCAGTCTGCGCTTGGGTGTGTGCGTGTGTGTTGGTGAATTGTACACACATCTTTCACTAGGAGCAGCACTGCTTGTAACAGCAGCAACACTTACGCAAATCAGTCGTACCACAACCAACAGGTGCCAACGCAAATACCAAGAGAGGCCAGCAGCAGCACATGCCACGGCTGGCCTGCCTGCCGGTCACTTGCTTGCAGTTGCAGGTGACCACAATGGGGTTAGCCTAGCCTAGCCTCCTTCTCTATCACCTCACTCAAGTCAGCCAGCCAGCCTCACTCAAGTGTGTAAACGGCAGGTAGGTGGGTGGGTACACAGCAGGGGCTTCGCATCGCCTCTCTACCCCTTGGTCCAGGACACCTGCAGGTGTGAGAAGGCGAGCTCAAACTCCCTCTCGTCCTCTCTGCTGCGACAGGCTGCTGGGGACACACTGCGACTCCTTCCCCATGCCCCTGCTCCTGTGCCTGCCCGCCCTGCTGCTCCTCTACCTCCTCCCCTCCCTGCCGCCCCTGCTCGGCCTGCTGCCCTTGTTCGCCCTGCTGCCCCTGCTCCTGCCCGCCCTACTACACCTGCCCGCTCCAGCACCTTTGCATCCCACCCAATGCCATTGCCCTTTGTCACGTGCCCTGTTGACTCTCCTTCCGCACTCCCCTTGGCCTCGCCTTGCCCTGCCACCTCCTCGCCTTGCCCTGCCACCTGCTCTCCCCCATTTGATGCCTTTGTGCCCCCCTCTCCACGACCCTCCCCTTCTCTTCTCTCTCCTCCCTGCCCCTCCGTTCTCCCACTGCCTTCTCCCTTCTCACCCCCCTCCAGCGGTCCGCACTCCTCTATCTCCCAACGTGGTCCTCTTCCCTCTTTCCCCTCTCTCCCTCCCTCCCTTCCCCCTCCCCACACCCCTTCCCCCCCTCACACAACCGGCTCCTCCCTCCCCCAACCCTAGACCCCTAACTCTCCGTCCGCGGAAACCCCTCCCGCCCCTTGCAGCCCCCACTTCTCCCTCCTACCTCTCTCCCTGCGCCCCTCCCCACCCCCGTCAACCGAGACAGACCGGGACTCCCCTAGCACTCCTTGCATGCTCAGCGCCGCACTGCAGTCTTAACCATCAGCATCAGGGGAAGGGGAGTCTCCTCCCCACCTCCCGGACTTCCTGCCTAAGCTACACACGAGCCGAGGACTTGGAATGGAACGCAGGCTGAGGCGACTGGGGCTGGCTGTGGGGCGGCGGGGGGAGGGAGCGGCCGGAGAGGGGGAGGTGGGGCCGCGGGTGTGGGTGTGGGACGAGGGGGAAGGGGAGGGGGAGGGGGAGGGGGGGGGCTGCGCGTGGGGGGAGAGAGGGCTGAAGCCGTGAGGGGAGTTGGTGCGCGGGGTGAATGGACGGGGGTCCCTGGGTGACGGTGTGCCTGCTGGACTGAACTCCCTGCTGCTGATGCTGCTGCTGCTGCTAATGATGATGATGATGATGCTGTGGATGCTGATGCTTGTGATGCATCCACTGCTGTTTGTGTCTGCTCTGCAGCAGCCGCAGCAACTGAGTGCGTATGTGCTGTGTCTTGCTCCCTCGTCTCCCCGTCGCCGCTCCCCCCTCTCTCAGCGCTCCGCTCTGCATTCTCTGCTTGCAGCGGCTCTGCCCCACCCTCAACCCGCTCCTGCTCTCATTGCTGCTTGCTGCACCTGCTGCTCATCCACATGCCGCTGTTGCTGCTGCGCCTGAGTCTGCATCTGCATCTGCATCTGCGTCTGCTGCTGCTGCTGCGTCTGAGTCATCGTCTGCTGCTGCTGTGCCTGCTGGTTCCTGACAGACCCTGGCCGTCCATACAGCAGCAGCTGCCGCTGCTCCCTCTGCTCCCTCTGCCTTTCCCGCAGGCCGTGCAGCTGCTGCGCTCTCTCCCCCTCCAGAACCTCTTTCAACCGCGCTAATGACGATATGGCCACCAGCAGCCGCTCCTGGCTCCTCTCCCTTTTCGTTCCGCCGCTCCCCGGGCTGGATTCCGCCAGCTGCTGCATCAGCGGGTGCGGGCTTGCCAGCAGCGGGAATATATCCGCCCACGTGCATGCGCCCTTGCCGCTGCCGCTTCCGCCGCCGCCGCTTCCGCCGCCGCCGCCGCTGCTTGCGGAGTTGTCCCTGGGAGACGGCGCGGATTGCTGGGATGGAGACTGGCCAGGATCTGTTCCTGAGGAGCTGGGTTGGAGGGAGGTTGCATTTGGGGAGGTGTTATCTGAGGGTGCGATCTGTGGGTCTGTAATGCGAGAGCGGAAGGCGAGTGCGGAACGGGAAGAGGCGGGGGCGGAGCGGAAGGGGTGGGCGCAAGGGACGAGGAGGGGGTGGACGAGGCAGAGACGAGCGGCGGCAGCGACGGGGACGCTGCTGTTGCGGCGGCGGCGGCGGCGGTGCTTGTGGCGGCGGAGGCCGCCTTGCCGACCGCGGCGACGGCGGAGGCGACGGTGGAAATACAAGGGGAGGCGGAAGTCGTGGTATGGGGGGAGGTGGTTTGGGGAGTGTCGCGCTGGCCGGCATGCGAGGCGGCGGAGTCGGGAGTATCCGGGGGGAGCGCGGCGAGGGGATAGCTAGATGCCTTAGTCTGTTCACCAACACTCGATGAATCGCCATACCGCCGGCTATCGCCGGCTCCGTCGCGCGCTGCCGTCGCCCGCACGGCGTTTCTCGCTCACTCCATCGCATCGCGTTGCGCGCGGACGGTCCAGGTCGCCGTTCGCGGCGTTGACGGAAACCGTCAGCTTGGAACAGCTCTTCGCGAATCGCCGGCGACCGCCACAACCGTCGCGTCGGGTGGCGAGGCAGCGGCGTTGCGAGCAGCGGCGACGGTCTCCGCCCCGCGGGTCGCTCGGCCGAGAGGGAGAGAACGGGAGAGACGTGAGAGCGGGAGAGAGGGAGAGAGCGGGAGAGAAATAGAAGAGAGAAAAGTTTAGTGGCAGCTCGGAAAGAACCGGCTCGAAGCGGCACGAAACGGACTGCTGACCGCTGCTCTACGCGGCGGACGCCTACTCGCTCCCCGAAAAGCGTCTCCCCGTCACTCACCACCAGCGCGGAATTGGCGACATCAGGCGCGCCGCCGTGTCGAATCCGCGTCGGTGCTCACTGCTTGGCGTCCGCCGAGTTGATAGGAACGCATTGCTGGGGAACGCTTAGAACGGCGATTCGGAAATTGGTGGCTCTGCAGGATTGGTTTTGCCGTTGCCGAAATAGGAGCGATTGGAGTAGGCAGAGATTGCAAGAGCGCGTGAATCGAACAGATAAACGCCGTTCTTGGTGGGCCGCACAATGGAGAAGCAACAGGGCTTGCGTCGCCGGAGACGGGTGGAAAGCGAAAAGCGAGCAGTAGAAAATGAATGAGGGATCTTAGTAGCGGCGACCCTGCTTTGCTACCGCTGGGCAAGACGGACGAGGCGAACGAGGCGAAAAATGGCTAGAGGTAAGCAACTAGCTTGACGGAAGGAGGTGGTCAGGGGAGAAGCACGGCTGCGTGACGGTAAACTGAATGGCGTGAGGTGAGGAATCACACGAGTGAGGAGGTGTGGCGGTGGCGGGACCACCAACGCACATTGGGAGGGAAGGTGTGAGGGGGTGGAAAAACTAGCGGCTGTGGCGAAAACGGTATGGGAGTGGGCGAATTGGTATCTTGGCAAGGCGAAACATTTCGTATGAGGTCCGAAGATGTGGTCACTTCGCTCATGAGGTTGAGAATCCTGGTGCTTTCTGACAGTGTCAGTGGGTTTGAGGAGGTGAGCGCGATACTACTGGGTTTCGTATGCTGAAACGCTGGGTTTCGTATGCTGAACCGCTGGGTTTCGTATGCTGAACCGCTGGGTTTCGTATGCTGAACCGCTGGGTTTCGTATGCTGAACCGCTTTTGCTGAGAGAAAACATGACCCCCATCAGCAGCAAAAGCCAGCGAGCGTGACATTGTACTGTGAGGGCAGCAAGATTCTGCTCATATTGGGACGAAGCCACTCCGTCCATTGGATCAATTCTCAGATCAGCATGCTCTCGTAGGCGTTGGCGCGAAGTTCCCGCAATTTTCCCAAAACTGCGCATTTCGCAGCCTATCCGTTGGCTTGGCAACCAGAACCTGGGGAAGGGCTCCGCGGACACCCTCAATTTGGCGGATCTTTTAGATGTGTCAGCGAATTTGGTGGAGCACTTCCGCCAGCCCGCGAATTTCATAGCCCAACCATGCTGGCGACACTCACGACACTCACAGCTTTTCCGCCTCTTCGGCGGATTTGGCGCGCTTCAACGGTAAAGCGCGTCCGCCAAACGTGTCGGTGGGCATTCCTTCTCCGCCAAGAGACAACCTCGAGATTCATTGGATCTGGGCTGTTCTGAACTGAACCCTCCTGCAGAACCGACACACTGACAAAACGGGAAACCCCTTTCAACACGTTTCAACCGAGCTCAACCATCAAATTACTCAACCATACCCACAATCTCAACCCAACCCACGCAGCCACGGCAACACCACATTTCCTCCCATTCTCTTTCTCCTCCACCCTTCTCCTCTTCACTCCATTTTCACCGCTCCACCTCCGTTCTCCTCGCATTATGCTGAACAGCATTCCTAACATTCACAGTAGACTTCCCGGCGTTTTTACAGCCAACTCTGCGCTACGTCCATACGGCATCAACGTAGTTTTTGGAGCCGATTGCAGCGTTCAGGAACGAGCGTCGACGCTAGAAACGAGCTCCATCGTCAGCAGCGATCTCGTTAGTTAGCAGAAACGTCGCCTCCATCAGCAGAATCGGGTCTCTCCGCTAGCTGCGATGTCCTCGTCGACAGCGTCGTGTTTTGACGACGTCAACAATTCGGCCGGCCGTCAGCGGAAATTGTTGTCGGAAACGCTTCTTCCAGTCAGATTTTGCTGTCAGAAGCAACGATTTCCGCGGTCAGCAGAAATTTCGGCCGTCCGTCAGCGATTTCCGCCATGAGAACGCACAATCCTGCATTCAAGTGTGAACGTTAAAGCTCGCGACCTCCATCGATTGCCGCATCTATGTGTGAAGCTCGCGACGCGCCTCGTCAGAATCGCGCAGCCGTCGCTCGTCCATGGCAAGGCTGCGCGATGACATGGCACGGCAAGATCGCGATTGGACATGGCACGGCAAGATCGCGATTGGACATGGCACGGCAAGACCGCGATTGGACATGGCACGGCAAGACCGCGATTGGACATGGCACGGCAAGATCGCGATTGGACATGGCACGGCACGACCGCGATTGTACATGGCACGGCAAGACCCGCGATTGCTGCGTGGATAATCGCTTCGCGTCCAACCGCGTGATCCCTGCATCAGGTATGTTGCTCTTGCCGGACTGCTCTTGCCGGACTGCTCACATTAAACGCGTCTAGTGAATCTCGCATCGTTCGGTTTCGAAATCGTTTATCTTACTTATATTCCGCGTCTGGATGTGCAGAATCCATTCAAAGCGCGTTGAAGCGTTGAGGCGAAACCGCGGGGGAGAAACGCGGCGAGCAGCTCAGTGTGTCAAGTGGTGGTGGCGGACCATCACACACTGCCCCAGCAGCCGCGTACAGCCACACAGCAGCTGCTCTCTACCCAACCCACCACAGCGAAGTACCTCCTCCTCCTCCTCCCTGGTGTCGCCTCCTCCTCCTCCTCCCTGATGTCGCCTCTCCTCCTCCTCCCTGGTGTCGCCTCCTCCTCCTCCCTGGTGTCGCCTCCTCCTCCTCCTCCCTGGTGTCGCCTTCTCCTCCTCCTCCCTGGTATCGCCTCCTCCTCCTCCTCCCTGGTGTCGCCTCCTCCTCCTCCCTGGTGTCGCCTCCTCCTCCTCCTCTCTGGTGTCGCCTCTCCTCCTCCTCCCTGGTGTCGCCTCCTCCTCCTCCTCCCTGGTGTCGCCTCCTCCTCCTCTCTGGTGTCGCCTCTCCTCCTCCTCCCTGGTGTCGCCTCCTCCTCCTCCTCTCTGGTGTCGCCTCCTCCTCCTCCTCTCTGGTGTCGCCTCCTCCTCCTCTCTGGTGTCGCCTCTCCTCCTCCTCCCTGGTGTCGCCTCCTCCTCCTCCTCTCTGGTGTCGCCTCCTCCTCCTCTCTGGTGTCGCCTCTCCTCCTCCTCTCTGGTGTCGCCTCTCCTCCTCCTCCCTGGTGTCGCCTCCTCCTCCTCCTCCCTGGTGTCGCCTCCTCCTCCTCTCTGGTGTCGCCTCCTCCTCCTCCTCCCTGGTGTCGCCTCCTCCTCCTCTCTGGTGTCGCCTCCTCCACTTCCTCCCTGGTGTCGCCTCCTCCTCCTCTCTGGTGTCGCCTCTCCTCCTCCTCCCTGGTGTCGCCTCCTCCTCCTCCTCTCTGGTGTCGCCTCCTCCTCCTCCTCCCTGGTGTCGCCTCCTCCTCCTCCTCCCTGGTGTCGCCTCCTCCTCCTCCTCTCTGGTGTCGCCTCTCCTCCTCCTCCCTGGTGTCGCCTCCTCCTCCTCCCTGGTGTCGCCTCCTCCTCCTCTCTGGTGTCGCCTCCTCCTCCTCCTCCCTGGTGTCGCCTCCTCCTCCTCCTCTCTGGTGTCGCCTCCTCCTCCTCCTCCCTGGTGTCGCCTCCTCCTCCTCTCTGGTGTCGCCTCCTCCTCCTCCTCCCTGGTGTCGCCTCCTCCTCCTCCTCTCTGGTGTCGCCTCCTCCTCCTCCTCTCTGGTGTCGCCTCCTCCTCCTCCTCCCTGGTGTCGCCTCCTCCTCCTCCTCCCTGGTGTCGCCTCCTCCTCCTCTCTGGTGTCGCCTCCTCCTCCTCCTCCCTGGTGTCGCCTCCTCCTCCTCCTCTCTGGTGTCGCCTCTCCTCCTCTCTGGTGTCGCCTTCTCCTCCTCCTCTCTGGTGTCGCCTCCTCCTCCTCCTCTCTGGTGTCGCCTCTCCTCCTCCTCCCTGGTGTCGCCTCCTCCTCCTCCTCCCTGGTGTCGCCTCCTCCTCCTCTCTGGTGTCGCCTCCTCCTCCTCTCTGGTGTCGCCTCTCCTCCTCCTCTCTGGTGTCGCCTCGTCCTCCTCCTCCCTGGTGTCGCCTCCTCCTCCTCTCTGGTGTCGCCTCCTCCTCCTCCTCTCTGGTGTCGCCTCTCCTCCTCCTCCCTGGTGTCGCCTCCTCCTCCTCTCTGGTGTCGCCTCCTCCTCCTCCTCTCTGGTGTCGCCTTCTCCTCCTCCTCTCTGGTGTCGCCTCTCCTCCTCTCTGGTGTCGCCTCCTCCTCCTCCTCTCGGGTGTCGCCTCCTCCTCCTCCTCTCTGGTGTCGCCTCTCCTCCTCCTCCCTGGTGTCGCCTCCTCCTCCTCCTCTCTGGTGTCGCCTCTCCTCCTCCTCCCTGGTGTCGCCTCCTCCTCCTCCTCTCTGGTGTCGCCTCCTCCTCCTCCTCTCTGGTGTCGCCTCCTCCTCCTCCTCTCTGGTGTCGCCTCCTCCTCCTCCTCCCTGGTGTCGCCTCCTCCTCCTCCTCTCTGGTGTCGCCTCCTCCTCCTCCTCTCTGGTGTCGCCTCCTCCTCCTCCTCTCTGGTGTCGCCTCTCCTCCTCCTTCCTGGTGTCGCCTCCTCCTCCTCTCTGGTGTCGCCTCCTCCTCCTCCTCCCTGGTGTCGCCTCCTCCTCCTCCTCTCTGGTGTCGCCTCCTCCTCCTCCTCTCTGGTGTCGCCTCCTCCTCCTCCTCTCTGGTGTCGCCTCTCCTCCTCCTCTCTGGTGTCGCCTCCTCCTCCTCCTCTCTGGTGTCGCCTCTCCTCCTCCTCTCTGGTGTCGCCTCCTCCTCCTCCTCCCTGGTGTCGCCTCCTCCTCCTCTCTGGTGTCGCCTCTCCTCCTCCTCCCTGGTGTCGCCTCCTCCTCCTCCTCCCTGGTGTCGCCTCCTCCTCCTCTCTGGTGTCGCCTTCTCCTCCTCCTCTCTGGTGTCGCCTCTCCTCCTCCTCCCTGGTGTCGCCTCCTCCTCCTCTCTGGTGTCGCCTCCTCCTCCTCCTCTCGGGTGTCGCCTCCTCCTCCTCCTCTCTGGTGTCGCCTCTCCTCCTCCTCCCTGGTGTCGCCTCCTCCTCCTCCTCTCTGGTGTCGCCTCCTCCACTTCCTCCCTGGTGTCGCCTCCTCCTCCTCTCTGGTGTCGCCTCTCCTCCTCCTCCCTGGTGTCGCCTCCTCCTCCTCCTCTCTGGTGTCGCCTCCTCCTCCTCCTCCCTGGTGTCGCCTCCTCCTCCTCCTCCCTGGTGTCGCCTCCTCCTCCTCCTCTCTGGTGTCGCCTCTCCTCCTCCTCCCTGGTGTCGCCTCTCCTCCTCCTCCCTGGTGTCGCCTCCTCCTCCTCCCTGGTGTCGCCTCCTCCTCCTCTCTGGTGTCGCCTCCTCCTCCTCCTCCCTGGTGTCGCCTCCTCCTCCTCCTCTCTGGTGTCGCCTCCTCCTCCTCCTCCCTGGTGTCGCCTCCTCCTCCTCTCTGGTGTGGCCTCCTCCTCCTCCTCCCTGGTGTCGCCTCCTCCTCCTCCTCTCTGGTGTCGCCTCCTCCTCCTCCTCTCTGGTGTCGCCTCCTCCTCCTCCTCCCTGGTGTCGCCTCCTCCTCCTCCTCCCTGGTGTCGCCTCCTCCTCCTCTCTGGTGTCGCCTCCTCCTCCTCCTCCCTGGTGTCGCCTCCTCCTCCTCCTCTCTGGTGTCGCCTCTCCTCCTCTCTGGTGTCGCCTTCTCCTCCTCCTCTCTGGTGTCGCCTCCTCCTCCTCCTCCTCTCTGGTGTCGCCTCTCCTCCTCCTCCCTGGTGTCGCCTCCTCCTCCTCCTCCCTGGTGTCGCCTCCTCCTCCTCTCTGGTGTCGCCTCCTCCTCCTCTCTGGTGTCGCCTCTCCTCCTCCTCTCTGGTGTCGCCTCGTCCTCCTCCTCCCTGGTGTCGCCTCCTCCTCCTCTCTGGTGTCGCCTCCTCCTCCTCCTCTCTGTTGTCGCCTCTCCTCCTCCTCCCTGGTGTCGCCTCCTCCTCCTCTCTGGTGTCGCCTCCTCCTCCTCTCTGGTGTCGCCTTCTCCTCCTCCTCTCTGGTGTCGCCTCTCCTCCTCTCTGGTGTCGCCTCCTCCTCCTCCTCTCGGGTGTCGCCTCCTCCTCCTCCTCTCTGGTGTCGCCTCTCCTCCTCCTCCCTGGTGTCGCCTCCTCCTCCTCCTCTCTGGTGTCGCCTCTCCTCCTCCTCCCTGGTGTCGCCTCCTCCTCCTCCTCTCTGGTGTCGCCTCCTCCTCCTCTCTGGTGTCGCCTCCTCCTCCTCCTCTCTGGTGTCGCCTCCTCCTCCTCCTCCCTGGTGTCGCCTCCTCCTCCTCCTCTCTGGTGTCGCCTCCTCCTCCTCCTCTCTGGTGTCGCCTCCTCCTCCTCCTCTCTGGTGTCGCCTCTCCTCCTCCTCCCTGGTGTCGCCTCCTCCTCCTCTCTGGTGTCGCCTCCTCCTCCTCCTCTCTGGTGTCGCCTCCTCCTCCTCCTCCCTGGTGTCGCCTCCTCCTCCTCTCTGGTGTCGCCTCTCCTCCTCCTCCCTGGTGTCGCCTCCTCCTCCTCCTCCCTGGTGTCGCCTCCTCCTCCTCTCTGGTGTCGCCTTCTCCTCCTCCTCTCTGGTGTCGCCTCTCCTCCTCCTCCCTGGTGTCGCCTCCTCCTCCTCTCTGGTGTCGCCTCCTCCTCCTCCTCTCGGGTGTCGCCTCCTCCTCCTCCTCTCTGGTGTCGCCTCTCCTCCTCCTCCCTGGTGTCGCCTCCTCCTCCTCCTCTCTGGTGTCGCCTCTCCTCCTCCTCCCTGGTGTCGCCTCCTCCTCCTCCTCTCTGGTGTCGCCTCCTCCTCCTCCTCTCTGGTGTCGCCTCCTCCTCCTCCTCTCTGGTGTCGCCTCCTCCTCCTCCTCCCTGGTGTCGCCTCCTCCTCCTCCTCTCTGGTGTCGCCTCTCCTCCTCCTCCCTGGTGTCGCCTCCTCCTCCTCCTCTCTGGTGTCGCCTCTCCTCCTCCTCCCTGGTGTCGCCTCCTCCTCCTCCTCTCTGGTGTCGCCTCCTCCTCCTCCTCTCTGGTGTCGCCTCCTCCTCCTCCTCTCCGGTGTCGCCTCCTCCTCCTCCTCCCTGGTGTCGCCTCCTCCTCCTCCTCTCTGGTGTCGCCTCTCCTCCTCCTCCCTGGTGTCGCCTCCTCCTCCTCCCTGGTGTCGCCTCCTCCTCCTCTCTGGTGTCGCCTCCTCCTCCTCCTCCCTGGTGTCGCCTCCTCCTCCTCCTCTCTGGTGTCGCCTCTCCTCCTCCTCTCTGGTGTCGCCTCTCCTCCTCCTCCCTGGTGTCGCCTCCTCCTCCTCTCTGGTGTCGCCTCCTCCTCCTCCTCCCTGGTGTCGCCTCCTCCTCCTCCTCTCTGGTGTCGCCTCTCCTCCTCCTCCCTGGTGTCTAGGGTCCGCTGATGTGAGTATTCGCAATATAGGTACATTACAATGAAATCTGGTTGTGACCTCCTAATTGAAATCTGGCTGTGCCCATAACATTGAAATCTGGCTGTTTTTTCCCCATCTTGCTACTGTTTTCATGAACAGTCAACCCGGTGTTCGATTAGTAGGCCTGAATCTGTGTTCACACCCTTATCATTCTAAAAAAACACATGAAAATGCATCAAAATGCCTTTAAAAACACTAGTGCACACGTTTACACCTCTAGGGGGGGGTATAGTGAAAACCTGCCAAAATAAAAGACCCACCCCCGTATTACAGACCCGGGGGTCTTGTATTCCGGGGGGTCTTATATCCGGGAGCTTACGGTAGAATATTGTTTGTCCCCAAACAGACCAGCCAGGCCAAACTGCAAAACCTGACATCAGATCCAAGGAATTGCCAACATTGATTTATCATGCAATGTGGTGGCAGCCATGCCTGCCTTGCCACATCCCTCCACGGTTCCTCTTCTCATCGAGCTCCATTTCCATCCAGTGCAGCCGTCCTCTAGATGGCATGTTGACATGCCACACCATGCCATGTCACACCATTCCATGCCACACCATGCCATGTCACACCATTCCATCCATGTCACACCATTCCATCCATGTCGCAGGGCGCAGCTGGTGCGCGAGCAGATGGGCGGCAGTGGTGGCGCTGGGGGACAGCGCCTAGACACTACCAGAGCCTAGACATGGGGGACAGCAGTTCCTCAAAGCACGGCGGCTGGTCATCCTGGGCAACGTCAATGGTGAGAGCATTCACAGCACTCGATGCCGGCTCACATGGTGCCATGCACACTGCAGGTGGCAGCATGCAATGGCTGCCAGGCACTGTCAGCTCCCCTCCCATGCACAAGGGTGAGGGGGACACAGGTGGTACCAGGTCAGCAAGCCCGCACGCAGGCTCACAAGCAGCAACAGCAGCAGCAGCGTGTGGCACAGAGCCAGGCAGAGAGACATGCAGGGAGCGCGGCACGGCAGAAGGCTCGCAGCTGGGTATGGCATCAGGCAGTCCGGTGGTCAGACACTGGTAATCACCGTATGCCAGCAGTGCACTGGCTTCCTTCAATGCAGCGGCATCAGAGGCGTGAGTGACCACAGGGCCACGAGGGGCATTGGCACCATGCGGATGAGGGTCCCTGTGTCCATGGGGGATGTGAGGGCCATGAGGAGGGGGGTCCGCTGGGCCGAGAAGGGCTTCTGAGAGCTGCAGCATGCGCTCGATGGCTGCTGCATCCAGCACACCATGCTCCACACCTGCTCCCCCACCCTGCACCGCATTTGCCCCATCCGTGCCCCTGCAACTCCACACCCCTGCAGCAGTCCCAGCAATCCCACCAGTCCCACCAGTCCCACCAGTCCCACCAGTCTCACCAGCCCAAACGTTCCCAGCAGACACAGCGCTACCAATGCTGTCCATCTGCTCGCGCACCAGCTGCGCCCTGCTCTCCCTCAGCGCCTGCACCATCGCCCCCTGCTGCACCCCGGCACCAGCACTGCCAGCAGTCCAAGCATTCCCAGCATTCCAAGCGTTCTCAGCAGTCACAGCGCCACCACTGCCGCCCATCTGCTCCCGCACCAGCTGCGCCCTGCTCTCCCTCAGCGCCTGCACCATCGCCCCATCCTGCACCATCACCCCCTCTTGAGCCATCGCCCCCTGCTGCACCATCGTTCTCTCCTGCACCCATGGGACTGGAGTGCCACACCCCCACGGCACTGACATGCCGAATGCTTCTGTACCTCCCACGGGCATGACAGGGCGGCTCGAAAAAATGCTGCCGTACGGAACAAGCCCCCCACGCACCGCCAGCGCCGGTTGCTGAGTAATTCTTTGAGTCGACCTATAAAACTCTGGCATGCCCCCGGGTGCGTCAGTGCTGACCACTGACATGACTGGAGGGCTTGCAAAACTGCTGCCGTACGGAACAAGCCCCCCATGCACCGCCAGTGCTGGTTGCTGACTCAGCTGGGCGGGCAAAACAGCGGGGCACGGGGGAAAATGCGTGTTCGCCCCCTCGTTTCCCGCTACAGCGAAAAAGCCCTGACTCGAGTCACGATCCTGGTTCTTTTGATTCCAATTCACAATGCTGTGCGTAGCAACGCCACCGCCATGGCTCCAGCCAGAGCACGCCACCGACTCCTCCGCCTGCTGCTGCATCCCGCGCGCCAGTTCCCTGCTGCTAACAGCTTTCCCGCTCTCCGCCGACGGGTCGACGCGCCCCGCGCTGCTCGCCGCGGGCGCGCGGAACGACTCAACCGGCCCCTGCCACATGCCCTGCTTCTCAACCGCCCCCTGCCACATCCCCCGCTTCTCAACCGCCCCCTGCCACATGCCGCGCTTCTCCGCCGGAGGGGCGCGCGCGCCGAGCGCGGATACGGAGGTCGACGTGGCGGCGGGGGCGGAAAGCGGCGGACACGAGCGGTTGAAGATATCTTGGAACGTCATGCTTGGCAGAGGCAGGCCACCGATGTAGTCACATCGCGCTGCGGCAAGAGATCCTACGTTGAGCGACGCGGTTCGGGAGCCCGGCGTCATGGCGGCACTAACGGCGCTCTCCGCTGGGTTGGAGTCGCGCGTTAGAAACGGCGCGCCGCCGGGTAACGCGAACCTCGCCAGCGACGGAGGCGTCGCGTCGTCGCTCGACGCGCAGCGCGGTACATGCGCGGGCGTTTCGACGGAGCGGCTCGTTCTCCCGCCGCCTCCGGCGCCGCCGGTGAGCACGCCTGCGAAAGCGCCGCCTTCGCTGTCGCTCGCACTCCCGCCGCTGCCGCTTCCGCTGCTGATTAACCCGCTGCGGGCGTCGGCGCCGCGCAAGCTTGAGCCGAAAGAATGGCTGCTGGTGGGCGCGGAAACTGCACCCTCGTCAAGGAAGTTAAGCTGCGCGCGCACACCGTACAGCTTCCGCGCTGCGCGGTCGTACGTCAGCGCAGCGGTCCGCGCGTCCGCGAACGAACCCAGCCAGACGCGCTTCTTGCTGCGCGGCGCGCGGATCTCCGCCACCCATTTCCCCCAACTGCGCTGCCGCACTCCGCGGAAGCCGTGCAGCGCATTCTCCGGCCCGCCTTTGGCGCCTTTTCCCACCCTGTCGGCGCGCCTGGGAGCGCTCCAAGACGGACCGGCCGCAGCACCACTACTATAAGAATTGGCGTTAAAGCGTGCATCTGGGCCCGCGTTCAAACCGCCGGCAAACGCGGATGTGACAGGAGACGTCAAGACCGTTCGCTGTTGCGGCGGATCTTGGGGACTAGGTCTGGGACTCATCGGCTTGGATTAAAATGGACTAGCTAGGATCGACGTGGGGATTAATAACGACCACGAACGCCCACGGCCACGGCGTTGTTTTGGAAATAGGCAAGGAAAGACAGTAAAAGCTTACTTCGCCACGACACAATGAGATAGTGAAAGTGCGGAACGTCGGTGCGGACGTAAGTGTCAAATACAAAAGCCGTTCTTGTAGACTTGAACAGTCATGCAACTGTCGAAATTGCGAAGGGAGTAGAGTTGTCAATCGAACCATGGCGGACCGCGGAATCATGCCTGCTCTTATGTTGTAAGCTCCCTTGTGGGCCCCTACTAGATGTTGCTGGGTTTGATTTCCGTGCTCAAAACTAATGCCTTGCTCCGATTTTCCCTTCGGTGAATCTGTCCCACGACGATCTACCTTTAGGCGGCTTTGCAGCACATCGACGAGAGCAGTGCGAAATCAGAGAGCAGTGCGTACGCTGATGGATAGAATGAATCACAGCAATCCCATCCCCACTCCCAGCATCGCAGGGCTAAATAAATCAAGCAGCGGCGATGCTGGACTAATCTTGCGATTCGAATCTACTGCTTCTGCGGATTTGTTTCTGAATTGGGCTCCTCACAATATCAGCAGTCTCTCCTCCTCCCCTCGCCACACAGCCGGGAGGAAACGACGAGCATTGCAGCGGCATCTGCTCCCCTCCCCTCTCTGAGACTTGCAGTGGCCAATCGGGGGGGTGGGATGGGAGGAGGCGGGGGGAAAGCGGGGGGGCAGGGGGATGGGGGGAATGGGGGGAAATACGAGGAAAAGAAGGGAGCGAAGCAGAGGAGGCACGGAAGGGGCGCGCGGGAACTTGGAAAATGTCGCGCGCGCGGGCGCGAATTCTCGATTTGATTGATGGGCTAGGTGAGTCAGCAATGTCAAGAATCGGGGGAGGGAGATTCGAAATGGCGTCCCGGGAAAACATCAATGGTCTGGATCGTCGGAGGAAGCGAGATTTGGCAGTGAAAAAGGGAGGTCCAGCCTTTCGCTCTGTTCAAAGCGGTTGCGTTCGGTTCGGAATGTACATTTGTTTCTGAGATATCGTGGATGGAATCTCTAGCTCCGAAAGCTCGTGACAAATCTCATGCAGAAGCAGCTCGTGACGTGGCAAGGATCAATCACAAGGTCCGAGCCACCAGAAGGGCTTGTTTTGAATTTCCGTCACGTGAAGTGCCTGAGGTCAGGATCAGTCTGCTTGTAGATTGGGTGTATTCTGGCTCGATACTGGAAAATCTTCTCCGACCTCCAACTGGTTAAAGCTGAAATTCCATAGGCCGTCCGATATATGGCTTCTCAACCATTACTTTAGCGAACCACATACGGTAAGAATGCCACAAAATCCGAGTTTAAAACACCTTCACCACAATTTCAACATACTTCACAAAAACCATAGGTAGATTTCTGGGGGATCTGTTGTTTCAGCACGATAGAACTTTGTTACGATATGAAGTTTTATGAGAAGGCATTCCTGTATGCTGCAGGAGCCGACTCTACCGAGAACGAAGTCGAGGAGTCAGAAGAGTCGAAGCGACGCAGCAACCGTCTGACCAAGACCGATGCTGGCAGAAACATTCGAAGTAAAAAGAGCGGGAACAGGTTTGAAACGGGTTCCCGCGCCGCACGGTTTGAATTCGGTTGTAATTGTTGGAAACAATTAGTTCTAAACGCCTCTGTCGTGTCGAAACACCAAGTCTGAAGCGAAGCAGAGCATATCGAAACACAAGCGAGTCAACCCTCGGAGGTTGAGCAGTTGCTGGAGGTTACGCGAAAGTCAAAGGTCAGCGACCTTTTACAGCGCGACAGCAAGGACACACAACTGACTCGCTACAGAGCAGTTGCCCGAGTCGTCACTGTATCGAACCGCAACAGCAACAGTAAAGCGTGTCTCTTCGTATTCCTTGTACTCTTATATAATCTTGTATCCCTTTGCTTTAATCAATCGACTTTGTCCTCACATACTAGCGCAAGGTGGTTCACAATCTCTTCACTAAACGCTTCCGCTATTACAATCCTACCCAGAGTTCATCCCTGTAAAGATCCTAAGGGCTTTCTCAGCCCAACATGGTATGAGAGCAGTCAGGGAGAATTCGACTTCTATTAAAATACCGACAGCATCAACAAGCATGGCTACACAAAAGGAAAAGAGCTCCTCCAACGGCTCCCAAGGCACTACTCCTACTCCACCTCCTGCCTCTGGTCTACAGACAGAGGAGGGTACGGCAACAAGACCCAGGGCAACATCCACCGAGACTCCTGCAAATCAACCTGCAGGCTTCGATCAGAGCATGATGGAGAAGTTTTTCTCCTTCATGTCCTTCTACGAGCAACACCAACAGTCGGCACCTGCGCAGTCGAACAACAGCAACAACAACAAAGGAGCAACTCCCATGAGTCTCGACGGCTCATCATACGCACGAGGAAATCAACAGCAGCCTACCTTTGCTCCGTACGAGCGCGGGTCCATCAGTTTTATGCCACACCCGCAGCCTTCACCTGGACAAGAAAAGCCACTGGACGCATTACAAGTTCAGTCGCAGTTCGCGCACGTTCTAAAGATGCAGACGTCAAGACCTTTCGATGGAAAGGATTTCTTCACCTGGTCGTTTGAATTCGAGTTAATGATGGAAGGCGCGCAGATACTTGGCTTCTTCGACGGGTCCCTGCCATACCCAACGAACGGCACACAGTATGAGAAGCAGCAGTACACTTATCAGTCGATGATGGCGTACACGATTCTAATGAGAAACATCACCCCGTCCCAACAGCAGAATATACGGTCTTACCGGGGTTACGGCAACTCTGCGGAGCTCGCGTACAACCACTTGAAGAGCCTGTATCAAGCAACAGACAGCGTAAATCAAAGTCGGTTAATGGCGCAACTGACAACGGTCGAAATGAAACCAGGCGAGAAAGGAATGGGGTATATTAGCCGATGTCGCGAGCTGCGTGACAAGCTTCTTCGATGCGGAGGGTCGATTTCTGAAGACGCCTTCGTGACAGTTATCATTGGCGGCCTCGGTCCTCAATGGCGCGCAACAAAGGCCATTCTCCGAGCCCACGGAAGAATCTCCGAAGCAGCGCTCTGCGCCGAAATCCACGCCGAGCAGCAAGACATGGACCTGCAAGAAGAACGACACAAGAAGAAGACATCAACACCGGAATTCGCATTCCATACTCAGCGACGCTACAATACCAACAAACAACAACAACCGAAACCCGTACCTCCGTTCTGCCACATCTGCAAGACGTCAGGGCACCCGCGCACGCACTGCCCGAATCGACAACAGTCAACGCCTTCACAGCGACAGCTTCGACCTTCAAGCAGCCAAGTCACTTCAATACAAGCGAACCCCACCGCTCAAGCTCAAACGACACCGACGGGACAACATGCACAAGGAGGAAGGAACACCGTCAGCTGCATGGCAAAACTGTCGGATTCCTGCACCACTGAATCACCACCGCACTACTCACCAGAAGAACAACTTGACGAAAGGACTCCGCGCCGTGAGACACTGGAGCCGAACCCGACATACGCAGCTATCGCCCAGAGTGAACCATCCGGGAAAGACACATGGTTCCTGGACAGTTGCTGCGGGCAACATATGTGTTCTTCGGGACGCTTCGTTCAACGCGAACACCATCTTCAACGCGAAGTCGTCATTACCGTCGCCAACAATCAAAACCTGCGCACACGACGACAAGGCGTAGTGCAACTTCAGTCACGAGAAACAAACGTCATACTGCAGATGTCCAAGGTTTTAATAGCAGAAGGGCTCGGATACAACTTACTGAGCGTCAGTCAATTGATGGCAAAAGGAATCCACCTCGAAGTAGACAGCACAACACAGGAGTTCAAGCTGTACCACGGGAAAGGTGGCCTCTATATCGGCAAGGCCGTACTAAAGAACAACGTGTTCGTCCTCGACTTCGTTCCAGACCTAGGCACCGCCGACAGCGACGGAATCGTCACTTTCACCTCCTGGACGCACCCACCAGATCTCGATCCAGACTTCAGCCCCGGAGGATTCTGGTATTCGCACACCATTCCTGAGACAGAACGAACAAGAGCGTTAGCGACGATCCAACATTCGGCAGCAGCAGAGACAACAACGGCAGCAGCAGAGACAACATCGGCAGCAGCAGAGACAACATCGGCAGCAGCAGAGACAACAACAGCAGCAGCAGAGACAACATCGGCACCAACCACAGGTCCTTCAACTGCACCAGCCCCAATCGACGACGACACCCCACCAACTCCTGCACAACAGCTGAATGCAACACCTCGAGAAGTACATCGAAGCGCTAACTTCACCGCCAGCTTCTACTCCAACACCGACGAATACCGACACTCACCCGGACATCGCGCCGACGAAGATCTCTGGCATAAAAGATTGGGACATCCGAGCAACACGACGATAAACAATACGATAAGAGCAGGCGTTTTTGACAAAGATTCACTACTTCTACCCGACGGCAGAGAACTTCGACGAATGAGAGGAACCTGCTTCACCTGCCCAGAAGCCGACTTACCGCATCAGCCCTTCATCTCTCACCACAACCCGAGCGCACCAGCTTACGCACCACTTGAAAAGGTGTACAGCGACATCCTGTACAATCGCGAACATGGACAAGCGGCATACAACTATACCATCACGTTCATCGACGCCGCCACCCGTTATGTCTGGCATCTAAACCTTCCAAGCCGCGACATGGCCCTCGAAGCTTTCATAGCCTGGCTCCCAGTAGCAGAACGGGAATCGGGAGTTAAGCTAAAGAGTTTTCAGTCTGACGGAGGAGGAGAATACACCTCACAAAAGTTCAAGCAGTATCTGGCAGAGAGAGGAATCAAGCGGCTCATCTCCCTTCCCTACGCCCATCAACAGCAGGGTGTGGCAGAAAGAATGAACAGGACCCTTCAGAACACCATGCGCAAGCTGCTACGTGGCATGCGGCTACCCAACCACCAGTGGCCCGA